GAATGCTTTGCCCATCCCACCATCCTCAGCGACCTAAGACCCTAAGACCCTCGTGGACCTGAGATCCTCATCAGCATAGGATCACGGCTGCCCTCTTACTCACCCGATCCTCCCTCTGATTATTGTGTGCACCCAGTAAACAGTGGCTACTTCTGGGTGTTTCTGTCTTTGCCCACTCTGCAGCACTGGCCTCCCGCGCCCCCCTCCATGTTTTATGAAATTATGTCTGTCTTTATTTAGCCCTTGACGCCCCCTTTCTAGACAGTCTGAGGGTTGATTTCCCTCAGATAAGACCACCCTAGGAAGAGTGAATTGCACAGCAGGGGAGGCTGCAGCGTTTCTGAGCTGCAGTGTCTGTGCATCCTCTGTCCCAGGCTCAGGGCCTGGATGACACTTGCTAGTCCTTTAGCAGCTGCTCTGCTAGGAGTCAGGAGGGAGGAGCTGGGTGGGACGGGGCAGAGGAGAGGGCCTGGAGGATGGGCGGAGGGGGCGCAGAGCTCTCAGAGAGCTCCCGGACAGTGGAGGAGCTGAGTCCTGCAGGGGCCTAGGGTTCACATCCCATCCCTCTGCCGGGGTCAGGGCTGCTTCTGAAGGAGCCTGGCGGAGTGCCGGATGGTGTGGATGGGAAGTCGCTGCAGACCGGGAGGGTGGCTGGGTAGGAAGGCCGCACCCAGGGGACGCTGCAGACCGAGGGAACCCGGCTGTGGTGCTGTCGGTCCTAGCTGGTGGTGTCCCAACTGGGTGTCCACAGATGGACCGACCCAGCTGCGCAGGGCAGGAGAGACACAAGCCGAGGGGAAGGAGCCGGAGTAGAGTTGATGTTAAAATCCAGGTGGGCCACAGAAGGAGGAACTGCAGGAAGTCCCCAAGAGAGGAGGGTTCCAAAGTACGGTGGGAAGCAGGGGGTGAGGGAACCGAAACCAGAGGGACATCCTTATCACTGCTCGGTTGGCAGTGCACACACCAGCATGCTTTAGAAAGAACAGGCGCGGTGGTGCACCCTAGGAATCCCAGCACTCTGGGAGGCTGAAGCAGGAGGATCTGAAGTTCGAACCCAGTCTGGGGAACTTAGTAGCTTAGTGAGAACCTGTCTCAGTAAAAAATAGACAAAGGGCTGGGGATGTAGCTCACTGTGAAGTTCCTGGTTTCAATACTGCAGACCAGGATAAAAAAAAACTAGTCAATAATTTCAAGGTATCTGTGGATGTAAACGACAGAGATATACTGAAGCAATTTCTAACACTTTTATAATTAAAAAATTAAAATAATTCTACTGTTGTTTTACAGCAACTTGGTTATTATTAAGTTAAGGCGATTCACTCAACAGAGGTTGGTATGTTAGGGCTGTAGACTGAATTTGGGTTGAGAGGACCTGGATTTCGCCTCTTGGTTGGGAAACATCGTTTTCGAGCCTGTTTCTTTTACGGGTGAAGCAGTCACAGAAGCGCTGGGGCACTCCTGTGAGGGCTGCGACAAGATGAACGCGCTAAGGTTTGTCGACTGCAGCGTTGACGGTAGCCTTCCGGATAGCAGGAGGAACCAGTGCGCCCGCCCCCGTGCAACCTGGCAATGCTGCGGCCGGCGGGAAACTCCTGAGCAAAGCCCTGCTGGAGGCAGGGACAGAGTCCTCCGGGAGCGGGAGGGACGGCCCAGAGGTCGTGCGTTTTGGCGCCCGGCCCGCGCGAGCGGAGAAATCCAGCAAGCGGACGGCCCGGCCCCAACCAGAGCGACCAGAGCCGCCGAGCACAGCGCCGACCCGGCCCGGTTCCGACGCAGCCAGGCTGCGCCCGGAGCCCCGGCCCGCAGGATCCGGGTACGGTAGGCGTGGTCCCTCCGGTGACCTCCGTGCTCTCCGGACCGAGCCAGCAGGGGACGGAAATCCGGAGCCTGTGGGCACTGGGCGCGGCCCCGGGACCTGAGTCCCGGCTCGGGCTGGTGACCCCTGCGCTGTCCCGGAGAAACAGTCGCGCCCCGGATGCAAGGAGCCTCGCGGCACAGGCGGGTCGGGCGCAGGCTCTGCGGCCCGCGCTGCTGTCCCAGCGGCCTCCTGGCCCGCGGGTTTGGGGTTCGAATTCGGGCCTGGGGCCCGGGGCTTGGAGGTCTCCCCGGGCCTGTCGGGTGCGCGCCGGGTCAAAGGCTCTGGGGTGCTGGGTTTCCGCTCTGGCTGCATTTTAACAGGTTTTAGGCACGGGCTGTTTCTCACTGACACGGAAGGCAAATGACAGGACGGACGGACGGAGAGGGCCTGGCGCTTGTGTCCTTCTCCCTTCCCGGCGTGCCAGGACAGGAGCGCGCTGAGCGGAGCGGCTCTACTGCGCCTGGGGGCGCTTCCGGCTGCCACCCTGGTTTCTCTTCAGGCCCTGGAGCCCTCTTAAAGGAGTGGGTGACGCCCACGCTCAGCGGCCCGCCCCCCGGAGGAGCCCTGCCTGTAGGTGTACCGTGGCTCTGGTCCTCTCCCCGCGGTGTGTTTCCGAGCAGAGCCTGACTGTGCCCTGGATTCTGTGGTACCAAGCTTGCCTGGCTTCTGCTGCCTCCCTGAGCGGCTGTTCGTGCCCGCGCTCTGCCCGGTGCCCTTTTCTCTGTCGCCCTGCGGTCTCCCTCCACGACCTCATCCACTCCGAAGGCCCCGGCCACTCGGCGCCTCCCTTTTCCTAATGCCACATCTTCAGATCAGTTGGCTTCTCCGTCCTTGTTCCAGGCCCTCCTTCATCTCAACGGTGTTTCTAGTTGGCCAAGCCAGACTCCCAGCGTCGTCTTGGTGACTTCCGGTCTCGTTCAGGACAGCCAGGGGCCGAGTGGCGTCCACACCCACTTTTGTCCCCCTGCGGGATCAGCTCGTCTTCTAAAAATAAAACGTGGCCGTGCAGATAGATCCTGCTTGAACTGTTTCCAGTGGGTCTCCGATTTCCTCCCGGAAGAATACCTTTGGTGGGTCCGGGTTCCCCGCAGCAACCGGCCCTTCACCCTCCTTCCTCTTCGACCCCACGCGTCCGACTTTTGCACATTCCGCACACATGTCATGCAACGGCACGTGCGTTTGGGGCACAGTAAACTTGGTACCAAGTGGACTCCTCCCTGCACCCTTCCCGTCCGAATCGGACCTGACCTCTTGTTTTCTTTAAACACTTAGCTGAAAGCCACTTTTCCTTGGAAGCGGCCCAGAACATCTGCTCCTCCTCTCCCTTAGGCAAACCTCCCTGGGGCTTCCAGGGTCTCCTTCTCATCACTCCTCCCTGTCGGCTCCTCCCTCCCTCGGGGTGTAGGCCTCTGGGCCCATAGCCGTGCTTTGGGGCCTTAGATCTTTTTGTCTTTGCGCCTTCAGAGCCTGGTGTGAGACTCCCTTGAGATGCTTCATGAAACCTTATGAATTCTGTGCATGCGCGTCACGTTCAAACATCAGGTTAGACGACAGAGGTACAAAAGTGCGCTGGGAAGTTATTTTACGGATGGCAAGGAGCGAAGAGCGCTGATTACCAGGAAAAGGCTGTCTTCCCTCCACTTAGGCAAAGGAGGAAGGGTGCACCTCCCGGGCGGGACAGAACCCTGCCAGGCTCCGGCCCTGCAGGCCTCACCCCGACCCTCGCCGCCCTGGGCTCTTCCTCCCTGCAGCGGTCTGCCAGACCTCGCCCCAGGCCTTGGGGCGCTGCAGGAAAAGCGCTTTTCGAAGACACAGGGAACCCCTCGGGGGGGCAGGAAGCTGGCAGGGACAGAGGGCCCGCAGGCCTTTCGGTGTTTCTTAGCCCCAGAGGCTGCGTCCAGGGCCCAGGCGATGACCGCGCTCCGCAGGCATTGCTGGGCTCAGCTGTGCTGGCCCGGCCCATCCAGACCCAGTGCGCTGAGAGAGACGCACCGTCCTCAGCGCACGTTTCTGGGCTCCCCGGGGCTCCCCTCCGCCCTCTGGAGTTGTTCCCACCTCCAGTTCAGAATCTCACATTCGAGGATTGACTAATTCAGTACCTGCCTGGGAAAGCCAGCGAGCAAATGAGATCCGGGCGGCGTCCTCAGCGCGCGCTCTCTCCCGAGGGTCCGGGCTCCTGAGTCCACCCGCGATCGCGGCTCTCAGTGGGCGTTTCACATATGCGTTAAAAAGCATAACACAGTGGAGCCCTTAACCAAAAGAAAGTATGTAAAAGAGGCTGGAGTGTGGAGAGCGGTGTTAGCCATAGAGGCTCCATGTTAAATCTTACCCTCCATTGTATAGAGCAAGGAGACTATGTTAGGAGGAACCGCGTCCTTGCCGAAGTAGATTGCCCTGGAACGTGATGAACGTTCTGTAACCCCGAGAAACAAGGAAGCCCATGAGGGTGGGGAATTCCCAAAGAACTAGACAACAAGGAAGCAGATGTCTCTGGATAAGGGTCATGATGAACAACCGAACTCACCTGCTGTATAAAAGAGAGGAGAAAAATAAACTCGGGCGCTCGGTCTCTGGGAGGCTCCCGACTCTATCTCTGTGTCTTTCTTTTTCTTCATCCTCACTCCCCCATTCAGGTGCTGTTCGACAAGTGACGGCGGGCTCCGTCACTGGTGCAGGGCTGCGCCTCACGGACACGAATTCGAAACCCGGCTTTTAGGAGGCCCCAGGGCTCCACATT